AAACCGTTATAAATACCATACAAATTTAGTAAAATTTACAAATTCATAATGTCAAAAGTTTTTACTAAAAATTATGATTCATGTGTCTGAGTGTTTTGCCTGCACGTACGTATGTGTACCACACACGAGCTTGGCGCTCCTGGAGTTCCGAAAGTATCAGATGCCTTGGAACGAGAGTTTTGGAGGGCTATGAGCCACCACGTGGGTGCTGAGACAAACCTGGGTCCTCTGCAAGCGCAGAAAGTGCTCTTAACCACCACCCAGTCATCTCAAGCCCGAGTTCATGAACTTTTGATATTTTTCCCCAGAACAACTGACAGTTTAAGTTGCTTCTTAAAAAGACAGTGTGTTTTCAGATGGACACACATAGAGTAGGGAGTGTTGCGTGAGTGCACAGCACACAAGCTGCCCCTGGAGCTCACACCCTGTAGAGCCTTCCGCCCGATCTAAGAGCTTCTAAAGCTCCGGAGCAAAGACGGCCACAAAGTCAATGCAATTCTGATTGCATCCAATGGGCAAATAGACGTTAACCACAACACTAGTATAAAAAAGGCTTTGAAAAATGACAAATACCTGTTCACTGGAGAAGTACCCATGAACATATTCAATTGCTTTTAACTTATATTCTGTCAAAACAGCCTAGAAAGGGGGGAAAAAGAATTAATATACATCAGCACATTGTAATAAGCAGCTATCCAAATTACATAACCCCCCAAGCAACCTGACATGGACTAGTCTCATTCAGTTCTGCTGAGAGCAGCGGCAACTAAGGCAACAAGAAATGCTACCTTTTAGACCTGCTGGGTCTCCAGAAACACACAAAAGAAGTAACATTGTAATACAGTCAACACGAGTAGAAACGATGTATCAAATTCCTGAATGTCTAATTAGTTTCAAAACATCTCTAATTGATACAAATTGCCATTCCTTTTCCTTTTTCCTCTTTCTTCCAAGAGCGGTCTCACTACATCGACCAAGGCACCTTACAGCTCGCTTCCTCATTCACGAAGGGGAATCCCAATCACAAACCTCAACGAGCTGTAGTTAAGTCCTAATACTCAGAGATCCGACACACACTCACAGGTGTTTCATTAATGGCTTCTTTCCTCTCTGGAGCCTCTGACCCGGCACACTATTTACGGCTAACAGAGGTCACACAGTCTCAGCTCAGAGATGGTAGACCAAGCAAACACCCCGCGCTTGCAAGCCACTCATCACAAAATAGGAACAAGCCATTTTATCCTCACCGCAAAACAGCTACAACATTTGTATTTTCAACTATCTATCTATCTATCTATCTATCTATCTATCTATCTATCTATCTATCTATCATTCTACTAGGAGCAAATGCAGTGACCAGTCAAAACATTCAGGGTGCTCTACAGGTTAATTTTTACAGTTAATTCTGGGCAATGCACTCGGAGGCGTGTGATCATCACCATTAAAGAGACAGTCAAAAGCAAGGTTCAGGATCAAATCCTGGCCTGAGTTGATATCATCAATCACGTCTCAAATCCTCCCCCAATGATGGGGAGGCCCAGCTGTGGGGCCACACACAGGGCATGGAGCTCAGGGTTACAGGGCCTTCACACCAGACTCCTGGGTGAGCACTAGCTACTGAAGGAAACTGAATTTGGGATCCACCGGTCCACCACCAAACTCCACAGATGGGGAAGCTGAAGTCAAACAGAAAGGGCTCCAATTCACAGCTCTTACTATAATCACATTTTGGAAAAAGAAAAGCCTCTCCAGCACATTTTGATTTGAGACCAGAAATGCGGAGTGAAAGGCTGCGTCAGAGGAGCAGACTTTCATCTCCGGAACCTTCCCGAGTTCCTCAGTGATATTTATTCCCAGACATTTTCACAAGGCTGAGAAGGGAGAGGCTATACATACGGGCCGTCTGCCTTCCTCCAAAGCAAAAGTCTGCCTTCTCGTCTACTTTAATTTGAAATTTATCATCTCACAAAAGTGATTAAAAATCAGTTCAGGAGCCAAGCGCGGCAATTCTAAGCACACGGTAAGATGACATTTTGTTTCAAATTTTAATTAGAGAAGGGGAATCTACAAGAGTAGACGTCTACTTGAAAAGGAAAAAAAAAAAAACAACAAAAAATAAAAAAAAAAAAAAAAAAAAAAAAAAAAAAAAAAAAACCAGAGCAAATACAAAACAAGCGGTTTAAGATGGAATTGAAGGCCCATCCCTCTTTGAGACAGGGTCTCGTCTTGAACTCATAGCAATCCTTCTGCCTCAGTCTCTCAGAGCTCGGGGATTGCAGGCATGCCCAGCTGAAGTCAGTCTCGGTAGGTATACCCGTGATACATCTCACCTCTCCAGGGCTCCAACACCTGCTCTGAATGACACGTGTGGACATCCAGAGAGGAGGAAGGAACCTACCTACCCACTAAGCTGTTCTTATCCAGTTTCTCGGGTGAATCCATCTCATTCTTGAGATGCTTTCAGATCTGGCAGATAGTCCTGGGTCTCGATCCAAGCAAGACTGCAGGCTTAAGCTGAGCGGTGTGTGGAGCCAGAGCCAGAGCAAGGGAGGCTCCCTCCCCTTGGCACACACCCTGAGGAGTGGTAACCCTGGTGCTAGAAGCCTAGAAACATAAACAAAACACCTTCCCTGACTTCGCTCTGTCTTTATTCAAAAAAGAAAAGGTAAAAAGCAGAGAGCTTCCTAAAAGATATGTCATGTGACCCTGTATCATTTACTTACTCTTAAACATGGCTAGGCCCCTTGTGGAACTCATTGTCTGATATAGAAGGATGTCTGCGCTCACGTATTATAATGCAATAATGCAACCTAATTCGTCCATCACATTGCAGTGAGAACACTTTCAAATGCAAACCTAATCAGGTCACACCCTTAAGATAACCTAAGTGCTAACTGAAGGACAGTTGAGGCTAAAGTCATAAAGTCATAGCTGTCCCAGGCAAAGTTTGAAACAACTGGCCAGTCCTTCCCTTCCCTGGCATTCCCCTCTCCTCATGCATCCATCAATCACTTTAAGGCTTCTAGGTATTTGTTTTCAGATAGGATTTCATTCTAACCCAGGCTAACCTCCTGCCTCAGTAACTCACCCCCCTTGTCCTGAGTGCCAAGATCGCAGGCATGAGCCAGCACTCAGCTTTCTAAAACTTTATTTTTTAAATTTATTTATTTATACAACATTCTGCCTCCATGTATGCCCGCACACCAGAGGAGGGCGCCAGATCTCATTAAATAGAGTGCTGTTTGGAGCTATTAAGGGGTAGTTATTATTCTGGGAATGAGAGCCAATATAATTGTGACTCAATTATCTTCTAAGTGGGGAATACTGAGTTGATTCAATGTCTCCCTTTTCTCTTTTCTTTTCTTTTCTTTTCCTTTCTTTTCTGGTGAGCCCAAGCTTGATTCATTACAAGAATACTTTGATTAGGCCTCCTCTCTCCCTCATCTAGCATGACCCTTATTTTCTATAAGCTTGAAAACTTAGGAGCTGGGCATAATGGTGCAAATATGTAATCCCAGTATTCAGAAGGCAGGGGCAAATGGTTGCCACAAAGTTGGGGGTCAGCTTGCTCTATGTAGAAGGTTCTAGATCAGTCGAGAATACATATCAGAATTCTATGAAAGACAAAAGAAAACAAAAACAGGAAAGAAAAACCCTGAAGTTCCAGGCCCACCCCTGGCTCTGTGTTGCTGATGCATAGATTCTGTTTCTTCGTAGCCTTTGCTCTACCATCTTGCCGTCATCCTTCAATGCAAACAGATGCTGTAAATAGCAATAGGAGAGCTTCCTGTTAGCGTCATTTCTCATGCCTAAGCGATATTCAATTTCTATCCAGAATGGGACAAACGTTCTCCTTTGATCAGATGACCCTTTCTGGTCATCTAGCAGAGGTTTAGTTTATTATTCTAAGGATATTTTCCCCAATATTGGCCAAATGCCATTATGTTGTAGCTGCCACTCAAGGAAGTGCAAGATTCACAACAAAAACAGTAATTGTTCCCAGGGGCCGCTAGAAAGCGTCTCGGGAGAACTCACCGAGCCTCCCCTTGGAAGATGACTAAACAGCTGTTTTTCTTCTTCTTGTAAAATGTTCCGAATTCTCCACCTCGAAAGCAATGGTGGCTTCAAGTAATAAACACCCCGAGTCCCTACAGAGGAGTCTGGAAAACAGGATCAGAGGCTATTTTTCTGTGGGTAGAGTAACCCCAGGTCAGCCTCAGGCAAAGAACTATCTGATGGCCTTTTCTCTCTTCATCCTGGAGGGATGGGGTGGGGTGGATTTTGCAGTTTGGATACTTTTACTCTGTCCGTTTTTGCACTAGCTGAAGTTCTACCCAGAGGACCTCCAAATGCCAGGTTCCACCCACAGAATGCTCTAACTGCCCTAATGGCTGAATTCTGCCCCGCACCAGTGTAAAAAGCCCAAGGTTTGGACTTGAGATCCCACCAGCCCCCACCCAGGAGAGCGTCACCCTGCAAAGTTCCACCCCACTTCCCAAGCAACTCGATATAAACCCTGCCTTCTGTTCAGCTCCTTGCCTGAGCAGAGGCTGCCACCCTCCTGGTTTTATCCCTCCCCATAAATGTCTTGTGTAAGGTTGGTTGTGCGGTGTGACTGTGGATTCCTAGGCTCCCGACTGCCAGGATACCTTTCCATTCGGGCTATAATGCTCACATGGGCACCAACAGGGTTTTTTTTTTAGGAACTCAAGAGGCCATCAAAAGTAAAGTTTAGTGATCTTCTTACTCAAGTCTCTCTTGCTTCTTAGTTTTGTTCAAACGACTTACTATAATCCACTCAACTGTACTATCAGCAGGCAGTTTTTCTCAAGTTTTTCACCTTTTCTAGAATGTTCAATATATTAGCCCTAGAAATTAGAAAAACTAAGTAGCCCGTGTACCTAGCATATAATAAAACACTTCAACAATGTTTGTCATATTCATAAAGTATATTTTAAAAAAATGTTGAAAACTAACCATACAGGATTGTTCAATATACTTAAAAAGTTTGCTCCCCATGTCAAAGGAAAATACATTTGCAACATCTTCCAGACACCATCTTTATAAAAGTAGAACCTCTAGATGTTGAGATGAACTACAGCAGAGTGTACGGTCTACATTCGTCCTACATCCCCTCCCCCCAGTGTGGCAGACACTGCTCAGGACGATGGTGGGCCACATTCTGTCACCACGGGCCTATAGCGCACTGCACTTCCTGACAGAGCGAGCCTCCTCTCCTGCTGCCGCACACTTATTCCCTATGAGCGTTTGAGTAGAAATACATCCATGACTGTAAACATTCACCAAGAGCTTCCAGGGTACAAGTAGTAGTAATAGTGGTGGCCGGGGAATCACCTGTGGGCATACTGCTGAGATTACGAAAACTGCTTTGCAGAATTATCCTAAGCCTCCCTTCCTTATACATATGTTCTGGGTATACATTTTTTTAGTTGAAAACACCTGAAAGTCATTCTAAAGACTACAACAAGCACCACTTTTACCTGGAATATATTGAGTTAAATTCAGCAGTATGCACGATTACTAACATTAAAAACAGTGGGTCTCGAGTCCCCCTTTGTGAATACACACGGAGTATTGCATTCCAGCGGATGCTAACTGGAGTCGCGCATGCATTTGTAGAATAGCAACTCCCCCACGACCACATGCAACCCAGTCTGAGGCACAATGATCACGTCTGTCCACGGAGGCAATACAAGCAGATTTAAGGCTGTATTCGGCTATGAAGAGTCCCGTCTCCTCTTTAATAGTCTAGATCACATACGCAAGTCAAATAGGTCACATATGTAATTCAAACCCCTGTAGGATGGGAGGTGAAAATTCCCACATAATTTAAACCACTATTCTCCATACAATTCATTGTCAGCATATTTACATGTATAGGACTGGGGGTACTGGTACTTACAGTCACTTTAAGAATGGAACCTGAACGCCTAACCCCTGTCCCAGTGTCCCTAAGAGAACACCCTTTCGCACTATTGGACAATTTCATATCTGTCAGATTGTTCATTGCAGTTCTTGGGCAAATTTCATGGTGCTCCTAAGAATAACCGTGTTTCAAATTCATTGCCATCCACTTTGGGATAGACCTGGTTGCAAAGAAAATGGTGTTCCAGGTGTGGAGGGATAGCTAGGGAACCCGTCGGGCTGGGCGGGGTAGCTCTCCAGAGCAGAGGCAGAATGGACCTGTAGGAAAAGGGACACAGTTAGCAGAGCCCCATTGGGTGTGGACCAGATCCTACCCACATACAACCAGACAACACAGACATGAGAGGGCAAATACTGTTTGTTTGTTTTGTTTTTTTTTTTTTTGGTTTTTCGAGACAGGGTTTCTCTGTAGCTTTGGAGCCTGTCCCGGCACTAACTCTTGTAGACCAGGCTGGCCTAGAACTCACAGAGCTCCGCCTGCCTCTGCCTCCCGAGTGCTGGGATTAAAGGTGTGCGCCACCACCGCCCGGCAAATATGTCCGGAGGTGGGGTTTTGATGTTGTTTTGTACAGAGAAGTAGCCTTACTGTTCATTATAGCTTTAAATATAAGAGAAATTAAATTGTAATTGTCTTGACTTTAGTTTTCATGTTATTTAACATGTTACGTCTCCAAGTTGAGATTTAAGAAAATTCTATAAACGGGGAAAACAATTCATGCATTTGACTCCTACCATCTTTGTTACTTCTGAAACGACAGAAGTAGAACTTGCGAATTCGGGGAGAGCTAATTTTTAATCAAACCACACTCTTGACATTCTGGTAAGTCCCATTCCCAACCACATTGGGCTGTAGGGAGGTTCACCCCTGCAAGTCTTACTCCAGACATTACGTACCTGCTGTAACAAAGCCGACTGAGCAGCTGCGCTGTGCTGCAAGTCTTGCAGGGATGACTGTGAAGGAGTCTGGGAAAACCCAGGGATACCTGGGAGGGACAGAAGGCCTGGAAAAACAGAGCTACCAGCAGTTTGGAGTCCAGATGACAAACTGAAAACAATCAGTAGAAAACAAGTCAGACGGCAGACGGGATGAAAGAGGGAAAGGCTGCTACCGTATTTAGCAAGGGGCAGCTTAAAGATGGTAAAAGCAAGAAAACAAATCACTGTAGCTAAACTTACTCAGAGTGGGTAAAAAAATTCAGCAAACCAAGTAACCACTCTACCGAACATAGGTGAAGAGTCATGGAACATTCTGGGCACTGGTCTTTCCTCCCACCCGCCTCCGTAGCCAATACAAATCAAGCCTCGGCTACATAAACTTGGTGAGAAGCGACCTGCATCTGTTTGCGGCCTTGTCACATACCCTGCTTGTGCCACCAGGGCGGAGTTGAAGTTGGAACTGAAGGCCGAGGCAAATCCAGGGAGGACAGGCGCAGGTGATGGGGCCGAGGCAGCCACCGGCAGTGGGGTGACTGCTACTGTGGAGGGTGCCTGCAGCCCCGGGAACGAGGGCATTGCGGGGGCACCACTTGGGGCACTGGTGACAGGGAAGCCGGGGTAGGACGGGTTGGATGCGGGAAGAGGGCCCTGGGTGACCGCGAAGAGTGAGGGCACCGCAGTGGACAGGTTGAGTGGGAAGGCTGCAGGCGAGGCGTTGGAGGTGGGCAGCATCGGGCGCACGGTCGCAGAGCTGGGGTGTGCAGCTGTAGAGATGGTGGTTGACGGCCCCGTGAGGGACACAGTGGAATTGAAAGACGGACTGCCCGCTAGAGGGAAACTGTTGGTCAACGAAGTGAAAGGGGGCAGGGCCGTGAACACGGGAGCAATGGGCGTGGAGGATGCGTGTGGCGGCAGGGACATAGAACCAGCCAGGGGGTTGCTCAGGCTGGGGAGCCCGGACAGTGCAGGGTTAAGGCAAGTGGACACACTAATGGGCACTGAGGTCGTGGGGTATCCGCGGCCCAGAGCGCCTGACAGGCCCAAGGTACCGCGAGCAGGAGTCCCGGGGTGAGCAGGGCCTTTAAAGGCCGAAGGAGGGGGACTCGTGGGCTCACTTTTGATCATAACGGGCACAGTGACTGCGGCAGGGGTGGATGCGATGCCGCCTGCATGGGGACCATGCAAAAGCGAGCCTGAGGAGCCACAGCTGACTGGCACTGCAGTGGAGGAGGGGGTAGCTAAGGGCGACTGCGCGGGCAACACTGGGGCTGCAGAGGTGGCGCCGGCCGCAGGGGACTGCAAGCCTGGGAACATAGCCATTCCTGGGGTAGAAGACCTCTGCGTGGCGGCAACAGCTGCCGGGGCATAGCACTTGTTAGTGGCTGAGGCAGGAGAATCCGAGTTTTGATTGGGAAAAGGGGATAATGAAGCCAGGCCACTTGTGCCCACAGAGGACAAGGCAGAGGAATTGATTAAGTGTGTGTCATTTGATGTGAGGAAGCCTTTTAAGGCAGACAGGAGAGGGCTTTTTACAGCGTGCGGATTTGAAGCGCTGGCAATCAGCGAGGGAGTTGGGGTGGCTATGCTGGTGTGGCATGCCGGTGGGAAGGGCAAAGGCAGGCCTGTGAAGACGGACGACAGGGAAGCTGTGCTCGGGTTACTAGCCGAGCCAGCAGTAGAGCTGGCCAAGGAGTGGCTGGTGAATGGGGCACAAGTGGAAGCAAAGGTCTCACTGGAAGCCAGTGTGACCCTTGGTGTTGAGCTGGCCTGAGGAGATGGGGAAGGGGTGCCAGAGGGACCTGGCAGGGGCACTAGGCCAGAAAAGATGGAAGGGACAGGAGCAGGTGTGGTGCTGTGGGCCGAAGTAACGGGTGCCGGGGGCACCGAGGGAGTCCGGATCACAGTCGGGTTTGGCGTGGCTGGCTGGGGTGCTGGGAACACTGACAGGGCAGCGTTGGGAGCACTCATTCCGGCCCCAGTGGCAGCTGCTGACACGGAGGGATGGTTTACTGCCTTGACTGGGGACGCAGCAGGGACAGGAGTCACAGCAGGAGTCGACGGATTAGAACCGTGAGGAGAGAAGAGCTGACTAGCTGGGGTGGAGAATGCTGTGGGGAGAGAAGAGGCAGGGCTCATGCTGTGCTGGAATGTTCAATTTAGAAGAAACATAACCATTTTGTTGTTGTTATTAGATTTCACAAATACCAAGGAAACCTGATAGCAGACTTTAAGAGGCTCTTTACATGTCTGGACTGCCGGGTGCCATTATCCTACTTCACTCTGGAGCGTCTGTGGTCAGGACAGTCAGCCCTGCTGCGCCAGCCATCAGCCAGGAAGCTGGGGGAGCTGGAAATCTTCCTTCTCTACTTTTCTGCTTCATAAACACTGGCAGCACTCGTGAGGAGGCACTCACTGGCTTCACCCTGGACCACTTGGGGAGGGGTCTGAATGCATGTATGACCTCCCGCCTCAGACTGCCCACCTAAGGCCCTATGGGGCCCACAGCCGGAGTTTGCGCACTGACAATCTACACCAGCTCCTAAGCCTCACTTAGCCCGTCCAGGGGACACATTTAAGTGTAACACTGTGTCTAATTCATCCTCTACTTCAGGCCTTGCTGTTTTAGTAAGTTTGTGTCAGGGATCCATACAGGATCATCTTAGAGAACAGCTCCCAAAACACCCAAGAACTCGTTCTCGATATTATTTTCTGTTTGCTACGGCATCTTTATTCTGATAAGCCCTATGGATAATTAAAAGAAGGATTTGGGGGTAATTTGGGTTCCTCCTCCTTGGATGAGTTCAATGTTGTGTCCGAGGCAACATAGACCGCGCCTCCATCTCCAGCCATAACTACTGAACAGCGTTTTCAGGGAGTGATCGGTGTGGAAGGCAGATTCTCGACCTTAGGATGCTCACATGGTCAGTGCCGTGATGGCCCAGTGGGAGGAGGCACTCAAAGGAAATACCAGAACTGAGCTCCTGTGCACAGTGGGGCTGTGAGACCCTTGACATTTCTTCAGAACAGAAACATGATAAGAAAACTAGAAATCAACACTATGAATACTTCAAATCCAGGGCCACACCATATTCATGTTTCTCACTTTGGTCTATTTTTTTTTCCTGGTGTAGGAGATTAAAATCAAAGCCTTGCACATGCTAAGCACACACACTACCAAATCCATGTTGTGAGCAGTGACTTCATTTCATGAACATAAGACTCATTTTCCAGTCACCATGAAAATGGGTCTGTGCTGTACTTTTGTATGTGTTTGGTGAGAACCAGGATCATCAGGAATGAAATATGGGCCGAAGTCGGAGTTTGTAAATAACGTATCAACAAATGCATTGGTCCACCGTGGCCGGGAAACGTGAGAATTCAGTCTTATTCACTGATAGGCTGAGGACCATCTACTTAATACAAAGCGTGAAGAAAAGGCAAGCCAGCCCTCCTAGAGCTCTCAGAGCCATTCCCACTGAAATCTCTTAATCCACAGAGCACAGACTCTGCCACTAACAGTCCCTGCGGTAATCTACACGACAAATCATACCTTCCTGTCACCTGCTGTGGACGCTAACCACCACACACTATGCCACAGCCCAGCTGTCCATCTGTGCTCGCCTTACCCCGAGACCAACACTCCCGAGGTGTGGCAAGGCCAGCATGCACAGGGCCCTGGGCTCAACCCTCCAGCACAGCGAAAAGCATAACACAACAAATAATGCCGCAGGGCTATCAAGTACTGAGGACCATGGTCTTCCCCACAGAGGCAGTCTTCATTACTGTTCAGAAGGTTTTAAAGGGGAGGATATTTTTAAATTATAAAACTAAGTGTAAAGACTTTCAAATTACTTATTATTAAAATGATTACTTTATTTCCATAAAGTTAGATGACTTGTTCACAAGGCTTGGTGGCGCCGTGGCGGCAGTAAGAAATACTGATGTTTGTTCTGTTTCCTCTGCACCCCTCCTTTACACAGGAGTTGCTGCACCTACTAGGCACCGTCATGGGGAGGGAGTGTTCCCACCAAGACCACCTGTGCTCAGTGCCCTTTGTGGCTCCAGTGGCCCTTATCACTTTCCACCTTAGGACCTATTAGACTCATTATCTGTCAGAAAGGGTTATCTTCACAAGCATATAAAGATCACCTTTCCCACATCAGAACGCTAAGTGGATATGGATATATATATATATATATATATATATATATATATATATATGCCACGTGACCTTCAGATTTCACAGAGTGCAAACAGGACACAGTATCATAAAATTAATTGAAATCCAGGTAATATGCGCATTTCGTGAATGTCAAACCTCTCCTATCAAGTCACGCTCAGCAGGTATGCGTTATTCTACACCTAGGAGCCTCCTAAGACACGCCACAGATGCCAAACTCAAGTCTCCAGTGGGGAATGGCCAACCATCACGACAGGCAGCAGGTGCCTTTGGGTCTGTTTGGTACTTACTTTGACTCTGTGCAGGTTTTGACTGACTGGCGAGGTCTTCATTGTCTACGGAAAAATAAATGATTTCAAGCTTTAGACAGATTATTCCCCATCACAATCACAGACAGATACCAAAAAAGAAAAGTCAAGACATAAATAGACAACACTGAAAACACTGAAAGAGGACACAAGAAAGAATCATATTTGCATGGCTACAACAGGTTGTTACAGTATAGACACGTTTATCGATGAATCATGGGCACTAAGTGTACAGCGGCAGCCTTTACCTGTTCCTGCTGGATTTGGAGTGTACGGAGGTGGAGGGGGGACCCCTGGAGCTATCACATTGGCTAACGGCACCAGGCCCGCATTGTTGTAAGCACCTAAAATAAGAACATAGATAAAGATAGAGAACTTAGCATCACTGCTGGGGTCGCAGCTGTGTGGATACAGGGTTTGCTTCACTCTAAACTGTCACGTCAGAGATGCACCTGGGAGTCACAGCTGTGTGGATACAGGTGTGCCTCACTCTAAACTGTCACGTCACAGAGATGCACCTGGGAGTCACAGCTGTGGGGGTACAGGGTGAACTTCACTCTAAACTGTCACGTCACAGAGATGCACCTCACATGGAGAGTTTAAGTGACAACTGAGTGAGGGGAAGACAAGCCTGCTGCACACCTGGTCCAGACAGCTTCTGAAAGATGAGGTGGGCTGGACCCACCCCACTTAAGTCCCGTTACATACTCTTGATCTTTTTGAAATACATGGACACCAGCTACCTAAGAGAGGGCATTTAAGGCCATTTATCAAAGTGAGAAGCCCTAATAATAAAGTGTGATTAAAACAATCTCTGTTTAAACCATCAAATTAGAAAAACATCCTAAAAATAAACTATGCCTTCAGCAGCACGCCATCAGCTGGCCATCAGCAAATTAAACTCTCAGAATTGTGCTGTAGATTTCCCAAACACAGAAACCAGCCCGTCCTTTCAATTTAATGAACAGCAGAAAGAAAAAGTGGAACCCAGAAAATGCTTACTTGGTGCGATAGTTGCATGTGGCCGGCAAGGAGGTATCGGGTAGGGGACAGGTTTGTGTGGATTATATGTTGAGGGAGGCTGGGGAGGGAAGCACAGTGGTTAGACATCACCAAGACATCATCTCTTGATAACACAGTACAAGTTGCCTTTCTAAGCACCTTGTTGTAAGAGGATGAAGATGCCCCAGGTTAAAGATGATCAGGTTTGATTGAGGAAGATCCCCTGAAAATCCTGACTACAGATATAAAAAAACAAACCTAAAAAAAAAAACCTATAAAATATGTAACATATATTTTACCTGATAAAACACAAAACAAATAATCATCTTTGGCTAACTGTGTACAACACGCAGTCTATACTTGTACTTGAAAGGACAAGCCCAGCTGTTTCACTAATATCAACACTAATTAGGCAAAAGAACCCTGTCTAAAGTAAACACCATACTCTAATATTCATCTGAACAGATGAATGTGGCCAGATTGAAACATTTACCTGGATGAAACACTTATGCTCCAAAGAGCCATGAACATCAACATGTCCTTACACTACAAACCCTAAGTCATTCTCTCTGATCTGGAATTTCTACATTTAAACTTTGCAACACACATAAAACTTATCTCATACAGAAAGCCACACATATAAGAATTAACATTTGTTTCTCTTTTATTTCAACACATACTGGTTTGGATGGTCCAAGAATCCGTGCTGCTATTCCTTTGCCTTCATTGGTACTTTCTTCACCGTCCTTTTTCAGAGGAGTTCCCTATTTAAATAAAATAAAGATAGCGGAGACTCTAGACAACAAATAACTACGCTGTATTATTCTGAATAAAGGGACTTAACTTGTTGGGAATAAGTCATGGATTCTAGACCCAATCCAGCCCCAGTTAGCTGCCTGGCCTCCTCTTAACCCTCCTGTGCCACAGAGGTAGAAGGATGACAAAGAGAAGGATGACGTGTACTCTGATACTTTCTACACACAATGTCGCGTGCGACACACACGACTTTAATGCCAGTGTCCACGACTTAGAAGCTGAAAAAGGTAGCCGGCGGTGGTGGTACGTGCCTTTAATCCCAGCACTTGGGAGGCAGGGGCAGGAGGATCTTTGTGAGTTCAAGGCCAGCCTGGTCTACAAGAGCTAGTTCCAGGACAGGCTCCAAAGCTACAGTGAAACCCTGACTCAAAAAACCAACCAATCAACCAACCAATCAAACAAACAAACAAACAAAAAAAGAAACCTGGCAACTAAGACCCCATTAAAGGCTGCTCTAGAGAACAGATCAGAACAGAATAAGCTGATTCTGATCTGTTCTATATCAGCCTGTCCTCACAGGCTGTGTCCTTAGGTAGGACACACTGGGAGGGAGACCAGCTTCCAAGATGGTACTTGCCTCCGACCATCCATCTCAGAATAATTAGGGTTGACTTGCTTTATTAACATGACATTAAAGAATGGCCCTGACACCCAAACCTTACAAGGCCTTGCCACAGCTGTCCCTTCTTCCCCTTGGTTCAATGCACAGTGGAAACCAGCTATGTCATGAGGGTACTCAAGCCCTTATGGTGAGGAATAAAGACTCCTGACAACAAGCAACATTGATTTGCCAGGCATTTAAGTGAGCCTGGAAAGAAAAGAATATCTCTGTGTGCCAGTCACGCTTTTGGACGAAACCCAGGCCAGAGCTAGAGTTAGCCACTCCCAGCTTTCTGAATTATGAAAAGCAGTAGTATAATGTGGTGGTTCGTGTCTTTAATCCAAGGCAGTGGTGGCTGGGATCTCTATGACTTCCAGGGCAGCCTGGTCCACACAGTGAGTTCCAGGTCAGCCAAGGCTACTGAGTCTCTAAAGACCAAACCCAACAGAAAGCAAGCAAAACAAAATCTATTGGAAATAATAAATGTTTGCTATCTGATCCATGAAGCTCTGGGGCTGTGACACAGCTAACAGAAATGTAAAAACTTTAGGAAAGGTTATTTTCCAAGGGTTTTGAGGACCACCCTCTGGTGTCCAAACAATATTCTCACAGGGCTTTATCAAGGAGTTTCCTAAAATGGGGTCTCAGATATGTGACTGTCAAAAATGCCGAGAATGCTCGGAAAAGAAAAACCACAATCGCCCTTTGCCTGGCATGTTCTGAAGGCAGGTAACAATCAGCTAATGGCATTTACGTGTGAACTGTCGATTATCAGATAAGCTGAAGACCTGAGACTCCGTCCTTTGCAGGAGCACCATGAGCTGACACGTCCTCATAGGTAGCACATATGTGTACAGATCTGTGCTGCAGTCACACTTAACCAAGAGAAATTCCATGTAGATAGAAGCATGCTTACGGGAAAAATGCCATTTATGCGGCTGGGTTTTCCTTTGGGATAGGGGTTTCCTGGGATAGTTCCACATGAAGATATCATGGCATGAGGGGCTTTGCAGCCCGCTTTGAAAGCCTATAATGTAAAAAAGAAGACAGTGATTAACAAAACTCAAACCATCACATCGGGTACTCCAGATAACAGAAGTCTGGCTAAAGTCATGAATTAAGGAACAGCGTGGCATTCACACATTCGCCCATCAGTTACCATGGTGTCCAAAGAAGTAGAGTCATTACCATATCACCATGGCTACACTCCCAACCACCATCACCAGTGCTATAAGCAACAGGTTCAAGGAAATCTATTATCTAGCAGCAAGGTGTGGTGCGCACACCTTTAATCCCAGTACCCAGAAGGCAGAGGCAGGCAGGTATCTGTGAATTTGAGGCTAGACTGGCCTACATAGTGAGTTCCTGTTCCATTTCTTTAATAAACCTTCAAGAAAAAAAAAAGTTTCAAACTACACAAGTCCAGCTCATGTGATGAGATTGCTCTGAAAATGTTTACAGTTCAGTTGAAAAACACACACAGATAACAGGGGTGTATGTGTGAGGGGGGGTTTCACTTGTTAAAAAGCTCTTGTTGCTCTTGCAGAGAACCTGGTCCAAATACCCACGTTGGGCAGCTCCAGGTGATCTGGCACCCTCTTCTGGCCTTCTCAGGCATCCACACGTTCACATACCCACCCAAAAATAAGAATAAAACAAGGCATTTTTAAAAGCTTAAAAAAACAATCCCAAAGAGCCAGACTACTGGAAAAGCAAGAATGACTTATTACAGTGTTCAGTTGTGAGACACAGGGAATGGGGTTAGGTCTGTGGTGTTTAGAAAGCATCCTCAACTTCTAAAATGGCACCTTAGACACTGAGCTGGAGTTGGGCTTTGTAGGGCAAGTAGACTCCAGTGGATGCATACTGCATTATAGGAATAAACGATAATGTGCCGTACACATAAAACAGTCATACTCATATAAAAGCACTTATAGGGATGCTGTTTGTATTTGTAATTATTTTTATAAAATCCTCCCCTTTACAGATGTGGAGCGCAGATTCAGTATTCACTGCCATGAATTTGATCACTGCGAGACGGCTGAAACACAATGTGAAGTCATTGTTCCTGCGCACGAGGACAGAATGCTTGGCGCCACGGCAGCGCTCCGCAGAGGGAAAACATGAGTGTCTGCAGGGTGAACCGCCACTGGGTTTCCACTCCCAGTGACCTCTGCCCCCAACAGCCTTTTCCACAGGGCCCTGCTTGCTCGCTGACCAGAATGTCCATGTCTACGTTTGTCCCCAGCACCGCCACCGTGAGGCAGGTGCTTCACTGCACAGCGGCTGGGAGGAGTACCTGCTCCAGGACTCTCTTGCACCGTTTCTTCTCGGACATGTTGATCCTGAACAAGTCTTCAATGGGGCGCGAGTTCTGTGCATCCACGATGTTTCTGCCAAGGAAACATGACTTAGCTTCTGTCTGAGGACCCAGGCACACACACAGAGGTCAGAAATGTCTTTATAACATGCTTTTTGTTTGTGGACATAGCAACACATCCCAAACTATAGACTACATTGTCTATGAATAAGCAACCGAATCCCCCCCCCCCCCCCCCCCGCCCCAAACTTTGTAGAGGGTTCCTACTCCTCAACCTCATGCTCACACAAGGTTCTCAAAGGTCAAGTGCGGAGCGCTGCACAGCCCACATCACTCCATCACTTGGGTAATCACAGGCTCTGAGGTTTCGGGTGCCCTGCTCAATAGACAACCTACATTTTCATCAGCTCGCCTTTTGAGTTACTCGGGATGGGAAGGAGGCAAAGCACATGCTGACGTGCAGGGGTGTGAGGCAGCCTTTCGACTATGAACCTCGAGCACAGATGTAGGAAGGACCCATTACTCTGGGAGCCATGTCCACATCTGTAGGAAGCACAGGGCTATCGACTATGTAAAAGATACTAGAACCCAGTACCGTGCTTTCCCAGAACGTGGGCATTTTTGTTTGTGTTGTTAGGAGACAGGTTCTTACTGTCTTATTTAGGGTCTCCTGCCCCAGGCTCTGAGGCCCTGAGGTGACAGATGTGTGCTGTCACACCAGCTGTCTCCACGGGTTATGTCCCTAGAGCTCGGCTTCCTCCGTGATTGACACATCCACACACATCATTTTTCACACTGTCTCATCGGCACTCTGCGGCCTCGCGTGACTGTCACACCGACACAGAGCGAGGACCTCAAAAGGCAGGCAAGCCTCTGGGTCTGAGCAAGCGGTAAAAGAGGTACTCACGAGGCCAAGAGCTCCAGGGCAGCCAGCTTGTCTTTACTAAAGGTGAAGCAGCTGAGGATGCTGACCACTTCCGCTGGGTGGACGGCCACCATTTTCTATCAGAAAAATAACGTGTTTTGACATAAGGCTTCTGTGCCAGACCTACCTGCTTTGGGGAACTATAATTAAATTGGTAGTATAAGCATTTCAGGACACAGCCTACATCTTAGCTGAGAGGAACACAAGCAAGAGGTAAGCCCCAGCAACTCAACGGAATCCTAGAAATTCTGAGTTAAACTTGGGCTTTAAAAAATATAACCATTTCAGAAGCAGGTTGCCGTCTACGTGTGCCTTAGATCCCTGTTTTCCAATGTGCTCGCCAGCAACAAGCCCAAGTTCCTCTGAATGGCCACCGACATAGCTGGCATTTACACAGGGGACTCAACTCAGCGTGCAAGGCACAAGAGTCACAGTCAGGGGAAGGACTGAGCTTCATCTTTCCCGATGACAGGGCCTCCTTTAGCCTAAGTGATGAGCGGCTGCAGATGTGCAGAACCTGAATCCTAAGGGTCTAAATTCCAGGACTCTGCTTTGCAATGAGCATATGCCCTCAGTTTGCCAATTAGGGCTGAATTTAACAGTAGCACAGTGCAGTTTCACACCCTGGAAGGTTTCCACCTTTTAACATAGTACCAAAGTATAACGGGATTTAAGCTAGCTCTTCTGATACAAACCACAGCTTGCTCTGGCTCATGTAGAGACAGGGGAATGACACAGTGTTACTCTGCACATAGCCAGAAGGGAGATACTCACATGCTGGAGAGCTTTCATGGCCTTCAGCTGCGGTTCTGCCCAGGAGAAGTACCTGAGGAGATCAACCACCTGCAAACAGAGAGAGACACTTCAGCTGCACACACTTCTCTAAGACAGATCTCAGCACTTGAAACTCCCATTGCCATGTGTAGATGGTGAGTGAGGCACCAGAGTCTAATAGCGTGGCAAAGTTCAGCTACTTTATAAAACTTAAACCTCAGTCCCATAGCAGCTCAGGCTTCATGACGCCAACAGCCTCCACAGAGGACGATGTGGATAAAAATGTTTCTATCATCACAGAACCTAGTGGACAGCGCTGGTCTAGGAAGAAAGAAAAATATGGCTCCGGCAAGATGGCTCCGTGGCTAAAGGGATTATCATAAAGACGGTGACCTGGCTGGGAAGCCTGGGACCCATGGGTGTAATGGCTTGCCCTGTCTACTCCCCACAATATGTTTTTCCTCTTTCTCTCTCTCTTTGCTAAGAAAGGAGACGTACAATTTAGAGTTGGCCTGGTAGTGCAGGACTGTTAACACCAGCTAGTCTGTTAACACCAGGAGTCTCAAGAAAAAAAGAGCTGGGATATGGCTCAAGTGGAGGGGCACTTTCTCAGCATGTGCAAGGCCCTGGGGCTTAATCTTCAGTATCACAAAAGAAATAAATCATTAAAACAAAATGAAGAAATCCAGGAAATGGTATATACTGAGAGAAGAGGGGGTCGAAAAGTTGGGTGGAGATGGACCGCCAGTCTGGTGATGTGAAACAGTACGAACGGGAAACCACACAGCACCGGGCAGCAGCTCAGGTCATTACTGCGGTGTGTGGCGGCCGAATGAAGGCAGAGCACACGACAGCAGTTAGTCACGGATCTCGCTCAGTACTGCACTATGAGAGACAGGATCTTAGGGGCTCCTACCACCACCCACAGAGGCCTTGAAGCAAGGGTGAATACTGTGTGATGCCAGTCAGGAGTGAGCAGGGCACCCAGAGTCCCTGACCCTGGGCCACTGTCCTCAAAGAGAACCTCAAAAAAAGAGCACGAAGGAACAGAACAACAGTCTGTTGGCCATGAAGTAAACAGTTCTGCGTTTATTCATGTCCTCTTTGGCCATACAGTGAACTTCAAAACCGTTATAAATACCATACAAATTTAGTAAAATTTACAAATTCATAATGTCAAAAGTTTTTACTAAAAATTATGATTCATGTGTCTGAGTGTTTTGCCTGCACGTACGTATGTGTACCACACACGAGCTTGGCGCTCCTGGAGTTCCGAAAGTATCAGATGCCTTGGAACGAGAGTTTTGGAGGGCTATGAGCCACCACGTGGGTGCTGAGACAAACCTGGGTCCTCTGCAAGCGCAGAAAGTGCTCTTAACCACCACCCAGTCATCTCAAGCCCGAGTTCATGAACTTTTGATATTTTTCCCCAGAACAACTGACAGTTTAAGTTGCTTCTTAAAAAGACAGTGTGTTTTCAGATGGACACACATAGAGTAGGGAGTGTTGCGTGAGTGCACAGCACACAAGCTGCCCCTGGAGCTCACACCCTGTAGAGCCTTCCGCCCGATCTAAGAGCTTCTAAAGCTCCGGAGCAAAGACGGCCACAAAGTCAATGCAATTCTGATTGCATCCAATGGGCAAATAGACGTTAACCACAACACTAGTATAAAAAAGGCTTTGAAAAATGACAAATACCTGTTCACTGGAGAAGTACCCATGAACATATTCAATTGCTTTTAACTTATATTCTGTCAAAACAGCCTAGAAAGGGGGGAAAAAGAATTAATATACATCAGCACATTGTAATAAGCAGCTATCCAAATTACATAACCCCCCAAGCAACCTGACATGGACTAGTCTCATTCAGTTCTGCTGAGAGCAGCGGCAACTAAGGCAACAAGAAATGCTACCTTTTAGACCTGCTGGGTCTCCAGAAACACACAAAAGAAGTAACATTGTAATACAGTCAACACGAGTAGAAACGATGTATCAAATTCCTGAATGTCTAATTAGTTTCAAAACATCTCTAATTGATACAAATTGCCATTCCTTTTCCTTTTTCCTCTTTCTTCCAAGAGCGGTCTCACTACATCGACCAAGGCACCTTACAGCTCGCTTCCTCATTCACGAAGGGGAATCCCAATCACAAACCTCAACGAGCTGTAGTTAAGTCCTAATACTCAGAGATCCGACACACACTCACAGGTGTTTCATTAATGGCTTCTTTCCTCTCTGGAGCCTCTGACCCGGCACACTATTTACGGCTAACAGAGGTCACACAGTCTCAGCTCAGAGATGGTAGACCAAGCAAACACCCCGCGCTTGCAAGCCACTCATCACAAAATAGGAACAAGCCATTTTATCCTCACCGCAAAACAGCTACAACATTTGTATTTTCAACTATCTATCTATCTATCTATCTATCTATCTATCTATCTATCTATCTATCTATCATTCTACTAGGAGCAAATGCAGTGACCAGTCAAAACATTCAGGGTGCTCTACAGGTTAATTTTTACAGTTAATTCTGGGCAATGCACTCGGAGGCGTGTGATCATCACCATTAAAGAGACAGTCAAAAGCAAGGTTCAGGATCAAATCCTGGCCTGAGTTGATATCATCAATCACGTCTCAAATCCTCCCCCAATGATGGGGAGGCCCAGCTGTGGGGCCACACACAGGGCATGGAGCTCAGGGTTACAGGGCCTTCACACCAGACTCCTGGGTGAGCACTAGCTACTGAAGGAAACTGAATTTGGGATCCACCGGTCCACCACCAAACTCCACAGATGGGGAAGCTGAAGTCAAACAGAAAGGGCTCCAATTCACAGCTCTTACTATAATCACATTTTGGAAAAAGAAAAGCCTCTCCAGCACATTTTGATTTGAGACCAGAAATGCGGAGTGAAAGGCTGCGTCAGAGGAGCAGACTTTCATCTCCGGAACCTTCCCGAGTTCCTCAGTGATATTTATTCCCAGACATTTTCACAAGGCTGAGAAGGGAGAGGCTATACATACGGGCCGTCTGCCTTCCTCCAAAGCAAAAGTCTGCCTTCTCGTCTACTTTAATTTGAAATTTATCATCTCACAAAAGTGATTAAAAATCAGTTCAGGAGCCAAGCGCGGCAATTCTAAGCACACGGTAAGATGACATTTTGTTTCAAATTTTAATTAGAGAAGGGGAATCTACAAGAGTAGACGTCTACTTGAAAAGGAAAAAAAAAAAAAAAACCCAGCACCATCAAATATGAAATAACCCTGTTAATTTGAAAAGGAGCAAAGGAGAACTACAGGTCTGGCAGCAACCTTCGCAGTGAATCTTATGAGTTGACATAAACAAGGGCAGCAGTGTATGGAAACGACTCTTCCAGTGCCAGTCAGGGGGACCGGTTTGAGATGCCACCTTGAGGCAGGACAGCCCAGCGCCAGCTCTACAGTGGTGGCTCACGGTCACAGAACTATCCTTTCCGTCTAAGGGGTAACCTTTTATTTTTGCACAGGAGGTACTTTTAGACTCAGCATTACATTCCACATTTGCTGTGTGGTTCATGTTAGGAGAAAGGAAATATAAAACAACCTCAAAAAAGCAGAAGGGGGAAAAAAAAAGCCAAGGCAGGGAATAGATTCTGCTTAGCTTGAGATTTGAAAAGCAACTTTCTAGGTATTACTTATTGCTTCCGGTGTTGAGTCTTTCCTGTTACCGGGACATGGAAACATTGAACCTAATGTTATTTAACCAAAAGGTCTGAGTTAGGAAGGATTTACATTGGCTCCAGAACTGTGGGCAGCCCAAACGTAATTCCCGTACCAACCACACACAGTGATTTCTCAAGCTGAGCGTTCAGGTGGCTTCTCTTCGAACCGTGCAACCTACCAAGATCACACAGGAAAGTCAAGTACCTTTGGCGATGCGATGACTCTTATATTGCACTATCTACACGTACCACCTCAGAGAAAGTAACCCACAATTATCTCAGAAGATTTTTAGGGTTCAAAGTAGTTACCTTTCGAATTTCATCCAGCACCGTTTCAAAGGACTTTTTGTCCATCTCGAGTACTATTCCGACGTGGCCTTCTCACAGTTCTGCTTGCAATTACGAAACGCTCATCCCAGGTCCGCCCCGCGGAAAATACACAGGGAGGAAAAAGGAGGCGAGGAGGTAGAGGAGTATTGCAAACTGCACCGAAACAAAGCAAAAACCCCCAAACGGAAACTGAGAAAAAGTTTTTATTTAAAACCAGACTTCAGTAGGTTCTTCGCACAAAGCTTGAGCAGCTCAAAGCAGAACGGGCTGGGGCGTCTGCAGAGACCGGCGCTCCAGAAGGCGCCGAGGGCGGGGCGCTCCGAGGGAAGGCCGCCGCGCCACGCGCCGCTCACCGCCGCGGAGGTGCTCGGTCCCGCCACTCCGCCCGACCCCGGGGCCCCGCAGCTCCGGCAGCCGGCGGCCTTGCAGGTTCTTTGTTACTCGTTTTCGTAGCTTCCGGGAGCGGGCCGGCGATCGGGGAGCCCTAGGAGACGGGCGACCGGGGGGGGGGACACAGCCCAGGGCTGGGAGACCCTCGAACACCGCAGCTCGCACACGGCCAGACGCCCCGCAGGAGCACCCCTAATCGCCCCCACCAACTCCAGGGGACCTTCGAAAGGCAACGTCGCGCCGATAAGACGCAATCGTGCACCGCCAGCACAAATCGCAATAACCCAAAAGACAGTAATTGGGGGTGAATGGATGGGGGGGTCCTAGTGTGGGAATATAGGTATCCATGGCAGACGCCTGAATGCTTCTGAAACGGATGTGCCTGAAGTCCTTTCCAGAGGTTCGTAGACATTGTTTTTGCGTCATAGTCCCCTTAGTGTTGAGTTTTGTGGCGTTACGTTTTGATTCTTGAATGTGAATTTAGAAGAGTGGACTGTAAACGGGTCAGGAAGATCTGCGGGCGCCACCATGGTAGCTGCTGGAAGAAGCCTGGGGCCAGGAGCGCCGCCGAGCGGGGAAGCGTGGTTGCTGGGTCTCATGGTGAACACCTGACTCGGGGCCGGGGGCGGAGAAAGGAGGAGCCGGAAACCCGGAATTTAGAAGTTTCTCTGCTCTAGTTTTCCTGTGCTTTCTGCAGGCAGACGACCGCTCCAGACCCGGCTTCAGTCCCCGCCGAGCTTCGCCTCCAGGACCCGCAGGATGGCGAGAGTCTGGGTCTGCGTGGGAGGTGCCGTCTTCTTTCTCTCCTGTCTGGTTTTGCACTGGCGCTTCAGTGACCCTCTGGTGAATAGCGGGGATGAGGCTGTCGGTTGTAGGGGACGCCAAGGGGTGCAGCCCCAGAGGCACCAAACCTGCTCCTGGGGCTCAGCTACTGGCCCTTCGCCTTCTCTTTTAGTGCTAAAAAGTATGCGTGTCGGGGAGGTGGCGCGGCGCGGCGCGGCGGTTGAGAGCTCTTGCACAGGACTAGGGATCGATTCCCACCACCAACATGACTGCTTACTCCCCCCACTGTCACTCCAGATCCAGGGGACCTGATGCCCTTTCTGGCCTTTGTGAGAGCAAGGTGCACATAAACTATCTCGGGCTCACACAATATGTCTAAATAAAAATAAACATATCCTTTTAAAAATACATGTACATTCTGGATTTTCCCCCCAGCTCTTACTACACTCTAAAGTAATTTGTAGACCTTTTATTGTGGTTGTTATGATATTTAGACATCAAAATCTGTTTATCCGGAATTACCTTCTGGCTGTCAAGGCAAGCTGTAAAGATAAGAGAAACACACACCTATACTGTTTTGGTTTTTAACCTGGAAGGCAAACTGAATCTGAGGTTTATTTTATTTTATTTGAGGTTTCAAGGACAATTGCTTTTTACGTACCCTGGAGAACGGAGGATTCTCTTTTCCGGCTGGATTTGGGTTGGCCCAAGTATTCGGAGTACTTCACTGGTTCGACCTTTTCTGTTGCGGTTGACTCCCTCAACGGGTTAGTGTATGTAGCCCAAGTAAGTGGAATGAATATTTATTCTATGCGAGCCCGTGAGATCAGAGGACACCTTTTGGGTTGATTCTCTCCTACGAAGGGGTTCTGGGATGGAACTCGGGTTGTCAGGCTTGCTCAGAGAACATTCCTATCTTCTTAGCCATCTCCCCAGCTAGATTCAGTTTGATCACTACAGAAAAGAAAGAAGAACATTCAACCTGAACATAAAAACAAGAACTGTAAGGGAAGAAATGATTTACCACCCTTGATGGCCAATTGCATTTATTTTTATATTTATTATATTTATATTATGCTGATTGTGCAACAATCTTGAGTTGGCTTCAAGCACACACTTTTGATTTGTATGTGATGCATGTTATTGTTAAGTTTTGAAGTTAGCTTTTCACACATTACTAGGTTTCTCAGTTATCCTTCAATTTTGATTTCTCTCTGACAAACGTTAAAGATTAGCATTCCTCTTAAGTGATTCTAAGCAGTTATTTTTGTATGCCTTCAGAGAGGGGATAACATCCCCAAGGTATTAGTGTTCACAGAGGATGGATATTTCCTTCGATCCTGGAATTATACAGTTGACACACCCCATGGTATATTTGTCTCCGGCACACCATATGAACAGTCCGTCTGGATCACAGACGTAGGAAGTGGTATGTGTAGCCTTGTTTATTCAGTTGCTTTTCTAGGTGGAATTCAGATCTTTGCCTGTGTTCTTGCTTGTACATTTTAAGGCTAGCATTGCTGAATCTAATCATACTTTCTTTAATATTTCACAAAATCATTTGTTATACCATATTCCTGTTGAATCAAGGGATTCAATGATGCTGTAATCATGATCTTTTAAGCTTGTCAAGGAACTGTGGGGGGGGGGCGTAGGGTGGGGGGAGGTGTAGGCCAAAGTGTCATTCCTCAGGGCCATCAACCTTGTCTTTTGAAACAAGATTGCTCACTGGCCTGGAACTCACAAGCGGTCTGGGGTACCCTGGCCAGTGAGCCCCGGCAGCTTCCTTTCTCCCCTGTCTCAATGCTGATTACACACATACTAGTGGGGTTTTAGTTTTTTCTTTTTCTTTTTTTTTTTTTTTTTTTTTCATATGTGGGTTCTAGGTATGGAACCCAGGTCCTTGTGCTTGAGTGACAGGCATTTTCCTGGTAAACTGAACGATCTCTCCCTCGCCCTGCCCCCCTCCCAGTTCAGGATCTTTCCTTCTTCGACCCTTCAGTTGCTCTTCTCAGACTAACCCTAACCTGCTCTGTAAAGCCAAATCAGATATCAGGATTTTAAAGGAAATCCGTGGCCTCTTAACTCCCATTTATACCAGTTGTCTTTTGAGAGGATGAAGGGACAAGAACCCGCAATTTGCTGCCTAGAGAGAAAAGATTCGCAGAAACTGGTAATAATAGTTCTGAAATTCCATTGCCTTAAGCATGTCTGAAACCTTCCTACGTCCCATGTCTTTAGTAGGCAGTGCTGAAGCACAGTAGACCCTAGCTTCACAGCTGCAGGGGACCTTCTCGGAGGCTGCGCTCCACCTATGCTGCTGGTGTGTCCTAGCAACACCAGAGCCAGTTCCTACTGCCTGGACAGCCAGCCGGAGTGGGGTCAGCAGGGAGGGTGTTGCTAGTGTCTTTTGGTCTGCTTATGTCCCTGGCTTGAAGGGCATCCTGCTTCCCCAGCGTTTGATAATCCACATAACACTCTATAGAACCAGTAAGATCTGGGTTTCTGTGAGGACAGCTCTTGTCACTCTCGTTCACAGGGTGCAGACGCTCCCTGGGCTCCAGGTAGTGAGCAGGTCCGTTAGTGAGCGGCCCATTAGCCAGCGGGCGCTCTGTCCGTTTAGTCTTTGTTTTGGGAGGTAAACGTTGGTCTGGCCGCTCAAGACTGGCAGCCGCAGCCTGTCCCTTCTGCCCCTTTCTTGAGTCTTCAGAAAGCATCGCTTTTCCTCTCTCTTCCTCTCATCTCCTTTTTCCTCCTTTAGGATGCTTGTCAAAGCTGGGGCGTGCATCTCTGGACCCTCACATCCCGTTCTGCCATGTGGCTGCATACAAGCTGCATGGCTCCCTCAGTTCCTCTTCTTCACTGCTGCTAGATTTACATCTTGGCTTCCCTGGAGTTCTTCATTTAAGTCCTAGTAAAACTGGCCTTGAACTTAAGAGTAGACCGAGGAGCAGGAGAGATGCGCAGTGGATTAGAACTCTTGTTCTTTCAGGGGACCTGGTGCAGTTCCCAGCACCCACACCGCAGCTCACAGCCATCTGTAACTCCACCCTCATCTGTCCTCTCTAGGCACTGTACACATACATACATACAGGCAAACACTCACCTACAGAAAATAAAGTAAAATAAACTATTTATATAAAACCTCTTAGAAGTATATCTGAGTTTATGCAGTACTGTAGTGAGATTTGACCGTTTTCTCCTCTTTCCCCAGAAGTCACTTGAAAGACCCTTAATTTCAATGTATTCTGATCATGTCATCCTCTAAAAAGAAGGAAAGCTCCCCTGGCTCCCAGAAGTCAATGCGGCTCAGATGGTCTCATTCTTTCCATTGTGTCCTGTTTTCCACCCTCACAGCCGAGAAACTCTTTTTATGCTCTTCCTATTTTCCAAATAAATGGATTTCTTCAAATGAAGATTTGGCTGCAAGTCAACCACTTAAAAAATTTTTAAGTACCCTGCCTTTCCAAGTCTTCAGAAACTTTGAGCTGTGCTTTCTCTGATATGTCGTGCTCTCCGTGGCTAAAAACTTCAGCCCAAGCATTCAGTGCAGTGGTCAGGTGGTTCTCCGGCAGACTGGTAATGTGGGCTCGCTCACTTGCCATCTGGAAGCTGGGTGCGTCAGAATAGTAGTCATGGGTGCCTGTCGGTTACTTCCGCCTCCTGTGCCTTTCTTTACCCAGGCCTCTGCCAAGCTGCAGCATGCCTCCCTTACTTACTCTTACTTACTTTATTGTTTAACTTGTGTGGTCCTTTTAGCACCAAAATGATTTTTCTCTCAAGAAGTGATCAATTTTGAATTTGTTTCTGCTAGGAGAAAATGTATGTTTTTTGTTTTTTTGTTTTTTTTTGTTTTGTTTTTAAATCGTTGAGTTGTTATATAGAGAATTTTTTTTTGTTGACTTCTGAAAATTTAAAACCTGTACATGGATGACTGAAATAACAGCTTTGACTGTAAGTTGCTTGTTTTTTAGTTCCTTCTGGATTTATTTTGCAAGCAGTGTGTTTTAAGAGAGAAACATGCACAAATCGTTCTGAGCTTTCTGTGCAATGAGCCAGTGTTTTTGCTGTAGTCCTTTGTGGTTGCAGTCTCCTGAATTTGGAGTGATCAGGTACTAACCCATCGGCAGGTTTGCTCAGACCTTAGGAAGGGCTGCTTGCTGTCACCTGTTGCGTTCACGTGTGCAAGTCCCTCGGCTTCTGCAGCCATTCCAGCCTTGTGACAGATTTGCCTTTGGCTTATAAAAGAAGATGTGCACATTGTGCAATGCTTCTAACGCGTGTTTGTCCATCTCCACAGGATCCTATGGTCACACGGTTAAGAAGTATAATTCCCTGGGTGATCTTGTTCAAGTCTTGGGTACCCCAGGCAAGAAAGGCACAGGCTTGAACCCACTGCAGTTTGACAACCCTGCAGAGTTATATGTAGACGACACGGGAGAGATTTACATCGTGGATGGAGACGGGGGATTGAATAACAGACTAGTCAAACTGTCCCAAGGTAAGTCTTCAACTTGCTATGATCATAAGGGATATTATTTTATAACAGAATCTGATTTGTTTGCTGCTTGTCATAATGTCGCCATATTGCACATGAAGTTCTGTAAAAGGCTCAGTACGAGGAAAGCAGATGGGTGGGATTGCCAGCAGCAGATGATTCTCTCATGGGCCTGCATGTCCACCGCGGCCAGGAAAACAGATGGGTGGGATTGCCAGCAGCAAATGATTCTCTTCTGGGCCTGCATGTCCACCGTGGCCAGGAGACCCTCCCAGGGACTGGAGGTGGTGTGAGAATTTAAAGGACTTCTGAGGCTTTCTTGTCCTGCATACACTGGGGAAGCCAGGAAGCTGGATCCCTGCCAGGCTTCCTGCAGCTGTGGCAGGGGGACTTTTCCCTCTTTACCGTGTGTCCTCTTTGTGTGCCCGACTCTCCTATCTCCCTCTTACAAGGACTCAGGGTGATCTCGAGATCTCCAGCTTCATCACAGCCTTAAAACCCTGCAGCCAAAGGCACATTCCCAGGTGCAGTGTGTCAGGAGTGGACTAGTCTCTTCAGAGAAAGAGTTGAGTGCATAGCCTGCGACTCCTCCCAGAGACGAGAGGGAGACTATAGAAATCTAACAGAAGGCGTGATGGCACACATCTGTAATGGCACTCCAGACACTGAGGCAGGAGGATTGCTAAGAGTTTGAGGCCAGCCTGAACTACATAGTACAAGGCCAACCAGAACTACATAATGTAATTGTCTCAGGACAAGAAAAACAAATTTGAACAAAAGTGAACGTTTTGTACATAGGGAACTAGTTTGAAGCAACCAATGCAAGAGTTCTGAGCAGTGCTTTAAAAGAAGTCGGAACAGCTCAGGCAGAGATAATGGAGCAGTGGATTGTTGGAAGGAGCACATGGGCTAGACAGATCCAGTCAGGACTAGGAGATAATACTCAGGTCCTCAGTGTGTAGTACTTCTTTTGTAGTTTGCAAGACAAAATTAACGTGGAAATGCATAAGGCATTCTATGTGTTCACTGCTTGTATGTATTTACCATTTATAGATTTCATGATCCTCTGGCTGCGTGGAGAGAGCGGAGCAGGACCTGCGCAGTTCAACATACCTCACAGTGTCACACTTGACGCAGTCGGTCGGGTAAACACAGCCTCCTTGTGTTTGGAACAGCATGTCTGTGGGGGGGGGCGTGTCTTGGTGTGTGTGTCTGGGTGGGCGGACTTGAGTATTAGGAGGCGTTTCTATTTCATTTCTATTGCTGTGATAAACAAACAAACGTGATGGAAAGCCAGATAGGGAGAAAGCAGTCAAGGCAGGAACTTCAGAGTCTCTGCTGTCCAGTCAGCACAGAGAGGAATGAGTGAACAGGCAAACAGGCACACACACAGACACTTACATAGGCCCGTGCTGCTTTGCTCACACGCATACATTATATACAGCTCAGCACCCCCTGTCTAGGGAATGATGCCAACCCACATAAGCTGGGGGTTCCCATGTCTGTTAAAGCAGCCAAGACAGTCCCCTTCAGACGTTATCACAGGCCAACCTGCTGTAGACTTGGCTTGTTGAGTGCTCTGTCCCCCGGCCGTCCTAGGTTATATCAAGTGATGGTTAAAGCGAGCCACAGTAGGTGCATCTAGGCAATTTCTCCAGAGCTGGCTGTGCACACTTGCTCTCAAAATGTGTGGGCTCTATTCTGAGGAAGTTCTCCAAATACTTAGAAAATAGCAAATTAGATAAGTCTGTACTCTTTCAGGGACAAAAGGGACAGGTAATGAATCCAAAACCGGAAAAGAACTTTGCCTTCTGCTAGGAAAACTGTACTGTAAATGTTTGAACTGTCTCTAGTTCACAAGGGGGAGAAGGCGGCCCTGATGGCAGTGGGCAGATGAGTGCTAGAGGCTTATCCTGAAGGTTTGAGAGAAGCCCTCTCTGTAAACTCCTGCCCTCTCTCTCCCTTCGTGGGGCAGCCATGCCCCTACCAGGGAATGGAACTGTCTCCCTGCTTCCCTGCATCAGCTTCTGCCCCCCACCTCCAGCTTTGCTGCTTCTTGGCATCCTGGGGTTACCTTCCACCAAGCACGTCTCCATGAGCCGTGCTTCAGCTGTCTACCTGTTTCCTCTGATAGCTGTTCTCTGCCGCACAGCCCCCGCTGTTGCATAGCTGCTCCTCTATAGATTGCGGCTTCTGGTGGGCACGGCTAGTCCTAAGGGGTCATACCTGTAGTATTAAGTAAATGTTTTGATGTGCAGTGCTGTGTCAGCCTGCCTTTATTGATGCAAACCCTATTAATAATTCCACTTGGCCAAGCAGGAGAGTTCTGACACAATCAAATTCATCATGATGAGGAAGGTTGTTAGGGGCCAGCAAGAGCTTCTGGAGGGACAGCCTGAGATTGCTGGGGGACCAACGACAGCCCTTTCTCTACATCCCTGTGGATCAGTGCCCAGCTGTCGGCTTCTCCATGCCGGGAGAGCACCCTGCTAGGGCCCTGCACCTGCTGTTTATGACATGGACTCATTCCATCACCGCCATAGCCTCTCACAGTTAAGGGCTTCCTGTTTCAGACAGACTTTCTTTTGATCCAATGTGCTCTGAGAAAGAAAGAAAATAATCTGGAATGTCCTTCAGTCCTGAGACGTGACTGTTCCTTCCTTGGTCATCTGTCTGAGGCAGTAATGCCCGATCCCTGAGCAAACCCATCTCTGATCAGGAGGAAGCTAGAGCTGTCCACCCTCTTGGGCACCAGCCTCTCACTGTCCCATGTCTGGGTCTGTTTGAGAAGCAGTCAGTGACTACCAAAATTAATACACACCAATGGAGATAAAGTCATGGTCTCCCTGGGCTACACAGACCCAGGAAATCCGAAGGATCTGCAAGGGGTGTGGCCTGTGCTGTGAGGTGAACTTATAATTGTATAACTCAGGGAGTTCCGTAAATGCTATTGAGAACAAACCTGAGCCTGTTTTATTACAGGAGTGTCTTAGTAACTCATTACAGTCTATAAAACCGATATCAAACCATTGTGCTTCTGTGTTCCTTTCACACCCAAGCTTCCTCCTCTTTGGTGACTGTGCTTTGACCCATCCCTGGAGTCCCAGGTAGAGGTTTAGAGACGGCACCAGGAGAGTAACAAGACTGCTTTTCTGTGTCTTGTGACCTGGCGTAGGAGCCAGCCGGCTCAGTTGTGCAGTGGTGCTAATGTGTGTTAGAGGGGTGGGTGAGTCTGCCCCGGTCAGTGTCTCTGGTCTGCTGCACAGAGGCGGAGGACTTGGGGTTTTAGGTACTTACATGTTTAATGTGGTTGATGGCCCTGTGGGCTGTGGGTGGAGAAAGACACACGGTAGACTGTCGCATTCACGTTTGTTGGTGCGTTTCAGACAAGGTGTTTAACCCTCCTGAGAATGGAGGCTAGTGATGCCATCTTTAGGGTCCTGTAAACACTAACGGAGGCAATGGTGTGGAGCTAATGAAATAGTCACGTTTCTTCTCGTGTCGTGCGACTCTCGCAGCTGACGTGATTTTGGTTTCACAGGTGTGGGTTGCCGACCGAGGAAATAAAAGACTCCAAGTATTTGATAAAGACACCGGAGAGTGGTTAGGAGCCTGGGACAGCTGTTTCACGGAGGAGGGGCCTTCGGCTGTTAGGTAATCGCTGCTGTTTGTTTGAAATGCTCGTTCTGGCTGGTTGTATGACTCCTTCTTCTAAAGGGGCAACTGAAAGTTTCAGGTGTTTGTTGTCAATTTTAAGCAGGAGTAACGGAAGGAAATAAGTTTCCAAAGAATAGCCCGAGGCTTTCTAGTCCTCTGGGAGATTTCCACTCACAGAAGGAGGCCCAAAGCTTGGGTCCACACTGTTGACCTCCCGAATTTCTTGTCCTCCATTCGCTATGCTGTGCTTGTTTTAATGCAGCTTCTCTGCTGTCCCAGACTTCCATGCAGTTTGAATTCGTAGAATCCTTCAGGCAGTGACAGCCTCTGCTGCTGTCAGCGTGCCCACCTGCAGAGGACACAAGCATTGAAAGAATGATCGTAATACTTGAATTCTCCTTCCTCCTAGGTTCACCCCGGACGGGAAGTACATGATTGTGGCCCAGCTGAACCTCAGTAGGCTCTCAGTTCTGACGGCCCCCCCATCTGGAGGCATCGGTGACTGTTCTGTGATCAGCAGCATCCAACTGGCAGATCAGGTTCTGCCCCATCTCGTAGAAGTCGACAAAAAGACCGGGGCCGTCTATGTAGCAGAAATTGGTGCAAAACAAGTGCAGAAATACGTCCCGTGGCACAGCCCTACTCCCACCGTTGGGGCTTAGGGCTTCCTCCTGGAGGAGCTGCAGGGAGCAGCGCAGAGCCCCAGAGTCATTGTGTTTAGTCACTGAGGCACAGGGCCGTTGGTACCTCTTCCACCAGAGAAGTGTGTTGGGATGTCATTGAGAACTGTGTCTTCTTGAGGTTCCTGGGACTTAGTTTTACAACTAAGAGTTTTTTGTTTCTTTTTTTCTTTTCCTTTTTGAGGGTCATGGATGTTGAACTCTGGGCCTCATGCACGCTGGGCTGCCGTCCTAGCACTGAGCTGCATCTTCGCGTAAGCAGCTTTTAAAGAAAGAAATGCAATCCCGAAATGGGGTTGTGAAGGGACACTGTGATTGCAGCCGAGTTACTTGCTCAGGCTGATTGACTCTCTGGGCTCCTAGGATAGTCTTTTGATTTCATGTGAAGATCTGGTCACTGCTGGTTGGTTTAACAACTGTAAAATGGCCTGTGAGAGATGCAGATGGGCGGGCTGTAGAGCAGTCTGGTGCATGCAGAGTGCTGCACCAGGCCAGAGCATGCTGGAGTGAGGAGCAGCATGGTCTGCCTGCAGTCCAGCAGGGACAGAGTGGGCATGGTGATGCAGGAGCAAGAGGACCATGACAGACGGGACGAGCCGTGCAGGGTGGATGTGTGGGAACTGCAGGCAGCGACAGCTTGGCCTCAGAGATGAGCGAGACAGAGTCAACAGTACCATCCAGGTAGAGAAGACCTAAGCCTTACAGACTTCCGTGAATTCTGAGGAAAACACAAAGCCAAAATTTTGCTCTTTTTTTTTCTTCTTCAAAATGCTTAATGGCACCCTTTACAAATAAGACGGCAACAGCCAGCACCTAAGCACTTTACTAAAATGGAGATTTAGCAATGGTATTTTAAGAGTTAGTGCCAACAATGAGTCCCTCTTCACTGTTGCCCATCCCATTTTTTAGAATGAACTCACTTTGCTACTAGCACTTACCTACCTCCAAGATATTTTAGGGGGTCAGAACCCTTCACACAGAAGTGTGCCAAGCGCTGTGAGGCGTACGCTGCATCTCCCTGCCTCTCTAGCCCACTCTTCCCTATCTGAATGCTGGCCTTCAGACGCAGACTCTGTGTTTTTCAGTCTGTTCTGGTTTATTCTAGGTGTCCATGGAAACGTTCCCTCTCAGGGTCTTTCGATCACCCATCCCCTTTGCTCCATCAGCATCCCCAGCTGTCCCAGTGTTACATGGTGATTGTGCAGCACACGGGATGCCTGAGCTGACTTCACTCCCCACCCCCTACAGCTGAAGGGCCTGAGCGGTTTTGGTGCTTGGGTCACATGCAGCTATCTCTGCAGCTTTACACAGTTGATACATTGTTAAAGACATACTTTTATTATTTTCAGTTATGTTCGTGTATGTATCTGTACTATGTGGGTGTGTGCACACCGGTATAGATGTCAATAGAGGCCAAAGACATTTGATCCTCCTGGAGCTGGAATTAGAGGCAGTTGTGAAACCAAACTCAATCCTCTGTAAGAGCAGAAAACGCTTGTAACTTCTGAGCCTTCTCGGCCCTAGGAGTCTGCATTTTGTTGTAGATATAAAACTTCTCAATGCCTTTGCTTCCTAGGGTTATTCTTGATAGAGGAGGAGGAAGTGTCCTAACAAGAAAGCCAAAGGCTGTGGTTGTCTCTCCTTCCGCTCTGATAAGAATGAATGACTTTAAGACGGAGTGTCTGTCAGTTGGAGAAAACTTGGTTACAATCTGGTAGCGACAAACCACTGTGCTGCCTTGTGACAAAGAAGTAACTGGTTTTGCTTCTTCTGGTTCTTAGAGGCTTTTGAGTTTGTTTTTTTTTTTTTTGTCACTACATATATTTATTAAGGAAATTATATGGGTTACTGCAAAAACACAGTACAAAAGATTGAAGTTTGACCCTTTTCTGCTCAGGACGTCCCTCTACTCCGAAGCTTCATCTTGTCCTGGCCTCTCTGAATGCGTTACCACGGTTAGTGTTTCTCCTCCTTCTGATCTTCCTTCTGTTCCCCAGTACCAGAACTTCCAGAATCTTCCTCTTCAGATGCCATCTTTTTATATGCCATTTCAAAGAGTTTCAATGATGCCTGCTGAAGTGAAGATGCTGCCTGTCTATGTTTTCTCCCGTCTCACTGTCCTTCTGAGCAAGGAGTTCTCTCATTTTGGAAATCTCTTTCTTTAGCTTGTTGCACTCATTAGCAGGTAACTGGTCCTTGAACTCTTCTGTCTTGGTTTCTGTGTCATGAATAATTTCTTCAGCCATATTCAACGGCTTCAACATGTTCCTTTTTTTTCAGTCTTGCTCAGCATACTTCTCTGCATTTTTAACCGTATTTTCAATGTCATGTTTGCTTAGTCCACCAGAAGACTGGACCACAATCTGTTGTTCACGACCCGTTCCTTTTTCTTTGGCAGAAACGTGTACAATACCATTGGCATCAGTGTCAAATGTAACTTCAATTTGTGGGACTCCCTGAGGGGCTGGTGATTTTATAGTTAATGCAACTGGGAATTCTAAAATTTTCATTCTTAGACTCACTAAATTAAATCAGACTCATGAAAATAAAATCCCTGAACTTACATGGGTGGATTGCTTTATTTTCAACTGCATACTCTCAGCAATAATCAAATAAAAATTTAGAAGTCAGAATTTATCAGCTGTATTTGTTTTTACAAAACCTATTACAAATGTGAAGTTTTTCAGACTAATGAGACCACTCAGGGCTTCCTCAAGGAAGATGCGGTTGGTACCTGAGTTACAGCCTTCACCCAGAAGAGGGCAGCAGAGTTCCGCGTATGGTAGGCATGGCTTGGACTTGCTGGGAAAGTGTAATGCCAGGCTTCCGCGTGCCTCTGAGTTTAAAATTGAAGCTGCAGTATCGAACACACTTGTGGTTTCCCTCTTGCCCAGCAGCACACTTATCTCCTGAGGAAGCTGGTGGTCACCTGACACACTTCTTGGAGATGAATATTTTTATGGCTTAATTGTCCTACATTTAAAGGGAAAATGTTTTAATTCAGTAATTTAAAAATAAAAGTAGTAAATAAAATAAAATAATAGTAGTAATTTAGACGAGCAGGCAGAAGGGAGTCATCCAGGCAAAGCTATAGTTGGACGGTGAGCAGCGTGGTGCTTGGGGACTCACGGAGTGAATCTGCTGAGTTCTTTTTGCTGACTGGATCTTTGAAGTGTATTGCTTGTCATTGCTGGTTGTTAACAAGTGTGGCCACACACCCTGACCTAGGGTGTGGTTACTTGGTATTTTAATATTAAGATGGCCCATAGAGGCATCCCACTTAGGGTTGAGTGTTCTGGGGTATCACAGAGTGCCATTAGGAATCATTTTATTGCTGTTTTTAGAACAAACAATAACATCGTCTCATTTCATTTCGATCACCTTCATATCTGTATATATTTTAGAATCTGCTACTGCATAGGTCTTCATACTGTCCCTCAAATAGCTTTTAATTTTAGCTGTCTCCCCAAATTTCCTGCCCCATCTCCTCCCGCATACCCATTTAATCCCTCCATTCTAGCCCCACCTTTTCAACCATCCACAACAATTATTTCCTTGTCCTAATGAGACCTATCTGCCACCCTAGTCCCTTACCCTACAACCATCCCCTGTGGTTCTATACCTCTGTGTTCTAACATTTAACAGCTATTATCCACATAGAAATAAATACATACCATATTTGTCTTTTTGTTACCTTTCTCAGAAAGATTTTTTTCTAGTTCCATCTATTTACCTGTGAAGTTTATGATTTCATTTAAAACGAAAAGCAGCTGAATAATACTTTATTATATAAATGTGCCACTTTTTTTTTTTAAACCTGTTCTTTTGTTCCCAATTTCTGGCTCTTCAGAACAAAGCAGCACTATAAACGTGGTCGAACAAGTGTCTCCGTGATAGGGTGGAGCATCCTTTGATTGCTATCCACAAGTGGTATAGCTGGATCTGGAGTAGATCAATTCCCATCTTCCTGAAGAACCGCCACACTGGTTTCCATAGTGACTGTACAAGTTCGCACTCCCCCCGGCAATGGACTAGTGTTCCCCCGACTCTACATCCTCACCAGATGCCAGTCTCTTCATACCCACAGCTGGTTCTTGAGCTCTGGAGGAGCAGCATCCATTGTCCCAGCAGAGTAAAGATGTCGCTTCAGTGATGCTGGGCCCTTGTCGCGGCTGGTTCTTCAGACCCCGCTTACAGGAACCACAGATTCTTACTCAGAACAGACACCCCTTAGCCCTGTCACCACACTTGTAAACAACGACAGCACTGACCATTTAGCCCCCTGTGGCTGTAAAGAAACTAGCGCATCTTAGGTGAGACATTTAAAGGACAGGTTAATTTGCATGGGTCGCTGCAGGTCAATGTCACAGACTTCTTCTCAATGTTTTACCTACTTTTCTGCTTTATTCCCAGGACAGAAAACGTTAGTGGCCTGCTCTGGTCTTAGTCTTAACTGGAGTTAGTGACTGCAGTTTATGACCTGAAAAGAAAATTTCTATTTAGTTTACATACAGGTGACCACAGCCACCAAACCTTAACGCGCGGTAGCATTTTCCTTCACAGCCAAGGAGCGTAAAATGTTGGATACTTATTATACTAAAATTCAACGTCTGTTTTACCTTAACTAATGGGACTTATGAGGTAAAGGTAAGATAAAAAACATTTAAAAGAAAGGAATATAGCAAGTTACAATCTATATTCATTTTGAATAAAAACCCTTCTTCCCAGGGGAGTGCACACTGGTGGAGTGAGGTGGGTCTGTAGGAGGCCAGGCCTAGGAAAGGGTGTGGACATCCCTTGGAGGCTCTTGGGGATGCCCTTCTCTGGGGGCACCAGCACACCAGCACAGGGAACCCCTCCTTCTTCAGGGGATACATGTGTGTGTCCGTATATGTGCAGGTAAGCTGTCCATGGTAAGGCGTGAGGCACACAGAGCAGAAAAACCCAGAAACTAGGGCAGACCCTAAGTCTCACGGACACATTCAAAAATCCATGAAAGGCCAAGAAGAGCGGTGTTAACCCCTAAACCCAGGGTGTGGCAGGCTGAGGCGGGAGGTTCAGGAGTTGGAGGTTAGCCGGATCTACATAGTGAGACAGTATGAATGAGACAGGACGGTTTAGGGACTCCAAAGCTGGAATTTAGATTCAGGTTAAGCTGGATTCTGATCTTGAGTCAGCCTGCTCCACTTTTTCTCATGGGAAGTGAGCAGGCTAGTGTTTTCTCTATGATGTGATTGTGAGTACCAGTAGGATTATGAACGTAAACCATTGAGTCACATTTTCTAACACAATCAGCACAATTACCCTTAACAGTGTCTTGAGGAAACTCATTGTAGAGTTACAGCCATGAATCAGGGACTACGACAGTATCGTATGGATAGATGGCGCTAGTAATATGGGGGGGGGGAGTTCTTCAACTAGATTTTGAATTTAATAGAAATACCAGTATTTTGTCAACTAATGATGTTTGCTTAAATCTAGGCAGCTGCATTTAGACCATTCTTTGAATCTCCTGTAAGTTTATTAGCATTACTTTCATAAATACCTTTGGCATTCATGTATGCCACGTATTGCTGTTAGGAGGGTTGAGCTTTTTGCTTTGTGGAAATGGCATCTTGCTTGGTGCATTTATCCCTGAAGCAAAGAGGGCAGTAGAGCTCCGTCTGTTCTCAGCTTACCTGTGGCATTCCCCCTGCTCTGCAAAAGGAATGTGGGTTTCCTTGCTATAAACTATTCAGAACTCATTAAGATGGAGTGAGCCATGTCAGACGTTGTACTGGGAGATAAAGGAGTATTTACTCATAGCGCAGATTGATGCTGTAGCGGTGAGTAGCTTTGACAAAGGAGAAAACGCAGATATGTAATCGTTACCCAGTGAAAACAAATAGATCCAGTCTCTAGATAGCGAATGCGTCTGTTTATTTCGCCCACATTCTTACAGGTGAAGCAAAGACGGCATAGTCAGAGCTTCAATATGCTGTGACAGGTCTTTTTTTTTTTTTTATGAAGAATCAAAATTAATGTCAAGAGGGAATCTTTAAATGAGGTAGGAAAACAAGTACAACTGGTCACATTTGGGGTATGCGATGTTTGATATTGATTAAAATCTTGACAAGACAAGCTTCTGGGCAGGGCTGTGACGGTGCTTCTGGACTGAGGTAATTGACACGGGCCAGTCCACCTTAAATGTGGACAACACCATCTCCTGCACTGGGGTCCTGGACTGTGCACACGTCACCAATCAGATGCCTGGGCTTGACACTACCTAATAAAAGCAAAGACGCTAACGTCCTGTGTCTCTGTCCTCCAGTGTGGTAGCCCCCAGCCCGTTAGTTAGTGAATCCCTGCCCCCCAGCCTGTGTGCTGGAGAGACTGGACATTCTGCTATATTTTTAATTCAGTCATCCTACATGGCTGCCGGTTACTGTGCTAGACCACATAGCAAACGGCTCTTGGTTTTTGTTTGTTTGTTTGTTTTTTAAGAGATTGGGTTTTTAAAGTTTTATACAAGACTGGGACTTTTGAAGTGTGAAAATCGGCAGCTGCTCTGAGGAAGGCCACTGAGGTAAGTGTTTGGTTTTTAGTTGTGCTGCGGATATTGTATGGAATTGGGGATGGACAAGAAAGGAAAGTTTGTGGCTTAACACCGATGTATTAGTCTGTCCATTTGACAAGGGGTCAGATATGCTGACTAGTTTCACGCCAGCTCGGCACAAGCTAGAGTCTCTTGAGAGGAAGCCTTAATTGAGAAAATATCTTTGGTCAGGACTGAAGGGCTCAGCCTCCCAAAAGCTAGGCTCACACACCAAAGAGACAAAAGAAAATGCCTCCAAAAGATCAGGCTGCAGGCAGTCCTGTAGGGCATTTTCTTAATTAGTGATCGATGGGGGGAGGGCCCGGTCCATTGAGGGTGGGGCCATTCCTGGGCCCTTGGTTCTTTAAGAAGGAAGTCTGAGCAAGCCACGAGGAAGAAGCCAATAAGCAGCATTCCTTCTCTGCCTTTGCATCAGCTCCTGCCTCCAGATTCCTGCCTTGTTTGAGTTCCTGTCCTGACTTTCTTCAGTGATGGTCTATGATGTGGAAGTATAAGCCAAATAATCTGGTTCCTCCCCAAATTACTTTTGATCTTGGAGTTTCATTACATCAGCCATGACTCTGACTGGGACAGCCAGAGTCAGTGAGCCACAGAGACTATGTAGCTGAACGAAGTGGCCTCTGGGTGGGTTATTTGGCCAGTACTTTACAAAGTATCTACCTTGTGGATTCTGGTGATTCTCTCTGGCATGACTAATATTGGAGTCCTTACTACTGTGTTGGGACCATTTGGAGTCCTGGCCTCCAGCTGCTCTTCCCTGCTAGAGATCTTTACTTTTCTTCTGATTTGAGTTACTGAAAGCTGTGTCAAAGTTGTTTACCAGCTCTGCTTCACGAGCACAGGTTGCCTTGGCCTTGAGGATCAGAGGATAAGGTTTTCACCTGTTGGCCCACTTGACTGGTGGGTATATAAGCCTCCATGGTGCTATTGAATAGAGGGCTTTTTACCAGTGACTAGAGGTCCGTGTC